CAATTGCCTCTTGTACCTGCCCCGACCAGGGGTGGAACCCACAACCCGCCCTGGCTAGTGTAGCTCAGCGGGTTGAGCGTTGTCCCACAAACCAAAAGGTTCCCGGGTCTATCCATGTCAGGGTATGTGCCTGGGTTGCTGGCCAGGTCACCAGTTGGGGGTATACCAGAGGCAACCAGTTGATGTAACTCTTGTACATCGATGTTTCTCTCCTGCTCTTTCTCCCTCTCTTCCCCTTTCTCTAAAAAATAAATAAAATCTTTTTTTAAAAATTGTAGGACATTGTACCCACAACGAGATACTAAATGCAGAAGACATGGAAAGGTAAACACAGTTTTGCAACTCAGGAAAATGGTTTCAGGATGATGTGGCTCGGGGTTCACTGGCTCAAAAATCCCATTCAGGACTTCCCATGACTTGCCTGGGCTTCACCCAGATTTTTCTCAGAGACTTGATGACTTGTAATATTGCCACAGAGCAAATGCAGAAGCAGCTCTGAGAATCCAATTGTCTTCTATTAAGCATATGTTAAGTATTCTAAAAAATGTATAATAATGCCACTTTTCTCATGATTTTTTATTTTGGAAAATACAGCATTTCTAAATATTTTTTATGTTAAAATGCAGAGTTTCTAAACGTCCATAACAGATGAATGGATATACAAAATGTGGCATCCGTACAATGGAATATTACTGTCATAAAAAGGAAGGAAATTCTGACACATGCTGCTACATGGACGAACTTTGAAAACATTAAGCTAAATGATATGAAGCAGATGCAACAAGACAAGTGTTATGTGATTCCATTTGCATGAGATAAATAGAATAGGCAAATTCATAGAGACAGAAGGTAGAACAGTGTTCACTTAGGGTTGGGAGGCAGGAAAATGGGGAGTTATTGTTTAATGGGTACAGAGTTTCAGTTTGAGAAGATGAAAAAGTTCTTGAGTCAAATGGTATGACAAGGCAAAACAGTACAATGTGAATTTACTTAATGCCAGCAAACTGTACACTTAAAAGTGGTTAAAATGGTAAATTTTGTTATGTGTATTTTTTAAATATTGTTTTATTTATTTTTAGAGAGAGGGGAAGGGAAGGAAAGAGAGAAAGAGAAACATCAGTGTGTGGTTGCCGCTCATGTGCCCCCCCCACTGGGGACCTGGCCCACAACTCAGGTATGTGCCCTGACTGGGAATTAAACCGGCGACCCTTTGGTTCACAGGCTGGTGCTCAATCCCCTGAGTCACACCAGCCAGGGCTTGTTATTTGTATTTTACCAGAACAAAATAATCGACCAAAATGTAATGGATTGTAATGATTATTTTTTAATGAATTAGTAAATAATTTTTTAACTTCTCATTCCTAATTTAAAACCTAAATATTGATAGATATAACCCACCAACACAAAAACTCTTTGGAGGTCCTCAATAACTTTTAAGTCTGTAAAAGAATCCTGAGAACAACAAGCGTTATAACCACTGCTCTATGTACAGCTGAAGTGAGCCTGAGCTAGCTGCCCTGGGCGCTTGTTTGCAAGGAACTGCAAACTGGCAGGAATTCAGCGGTCAAAAAAGGTTGAAGTTTCTTCTGGCCATAGTAGACTGGCGACCTCTAGTGGAAATATAAGGTATTGCCTGACAGTGAACAATTTCTCGACTGAGTAATTTACCTTGTACCGTCGGCTGAGATTCTAGGATGCAGACGGAGACAGTCTCCTGAAATAAGGACCTTATCGCAGCATTTTAACTTCAGACCCTGAGCCATGCTTCCTGTCATGCACATTCACACACAAACACAGAGACCCACTGTCACATTCACACATACACACCATTACACACAACTAGATGCTTGCAAACACGCAGTCACATACCCATCCAATCTCTCACACAGACCCACATATGCACACACACAGAAACGTTGCCCATACACAAAGAGCACAGCCTCACACATGGACACACACTCCTGCAGTCACATACACACACATACAACACTAAAAATACAGTAACATTAACAAAGGGAACTTAGTAAATGAACGTCATTTTCTATTTTTAAAATATTGTAATGGAAAGTGAGTTCCTGCCCAAAGCCATTAAATAAATGTTGAACAAATAATTAAGATGAATGTAGGTTTGGCAGCATGCCCGACTGGAGGTCCATAATCCCTTAGCCGAAGTCCTTGGAGACAGATGTATCTCAGAACTGAGAACTGTTCTAATTTTAGAGAGGTAATTCTGAGCGAATACCATATATTATGTAACACTCCCAGGGGTTGAGGCAGCCCCCTACCCATCAGACATGTTAATATATTCGCAGCAAACTGTGTGAAAATTCACACCAAAGAATATAAATAAAGAGTGCAAATAACTCGTGTTGATTTGCCACCATGTGAGATTGGGCCAAAATTACTGCTCCCCCACCCCGAAATATTCTGTGGTTGTCAGAACCTTTTCGAATCTGGAATTGCAGGTAAGGATGGGGGATTCTAGTAGCAGGCCCCTCACAAATGCATCTACTTGTATTTCTGCTCTAATTGTAAATCTTTCATTCCAGGGGTGGGCGTGGGAGAGAAACCCAGGATCCAGGAGGAAATAAATTCTTCATTGCCCCCTCCTGGCAGTCCCAGACCTTGCAGTTCAGCTGCAGAGTTAGGACGTCTACTAGCTTTGGCTAGATCCAGCGATGGGTCCATATTGGTAAAAAACCTTCAGCGCAATCTTGCCTTCACTTGCCAGTGAATGGTTCAGGAACCAAGCCTTAACCAAGCAGCACCTGACATCTCCCTGCCGAACACAGGCACTGGGTTTGGGGGTTGTCACGTGACCCATCTTGATCCAATCAGATTGCTGGAAAGCCCGTTGGCGCCCCCCCCCCCGCCCCCATAATCAATGGAAGGGAATGAGGCGTTCGCACGTGCCTGGATCTGTGGGCATCTGGTGAAGCTGCTTAGGGATGAGGTTGGTCCTGCGCACAGAAAGAACTAGTAATAGTCTACGACCTTGCGGTGGCCCTGGAAGGGCGTTGCTCAGATCCCTCTTTAAGAGATCCAGCTGCTGCGAGCACAGCTGTCTGACAGCCCCACGACATTGGTGCCAAGGCCATGACTCCCTCGGGCTGCTCCCGATGACAAAACAGAGTGGGTACGAGTGCCAACCCATTGCTACTTGACCCAGGACTCCTGTGATGGGCACCCTTTGCCCAAGGACCACCGCCCCCGGGGACACCCTCCCCCACCCAGGCTTTCTCAGAACTGTGTCACAGCCTGAGACTCCCCTCACCCAGTCCCTCCTTCCCTTGAACCTTTCCCAGATCTCCAAACGAGGGACCCGGGTGGTGAGGGTTGCCCGACATTGCCAATCTGCTTAGTGCCTTGAACTGGTCACTTTAAAATGGTTACAATGATAACTTTTACGCTGTGTGTGCATTTCACACACACACACAGAGTATGACCACTCACTTCCCCTGGCCTAGCCACCGCTGCCCCTCACCTGAGTCACGGCAGCGTCCTCCTCACCGGGCTCCCAGCTTCGACGCTCGTCCCCTACAGTCCGGTCCCCACCTGGCAGGCGGAGAGCCTGTTAGTAACTAGACTGGCTCACATCCGTCCTGGGCTCAGAAGCCTCTCATGGCTCCACCTCACTCAGAATAAAAGCCAGAGCCCTCACCGTGGCCTGTGGGGCTCTGCGCCATCTCCCCAATCTCCCCCACTCTCCCCTCACTCACTCAGCTCCTGCCTCTGCTGTTCTTCAAACAAGTCACGCACCTCCAGCCTCAGGGCCTTTGCACCTGCTGTTCCCACTCCCTGCAGTGCTCTTTCCCCATGTATGTCGGCCCTCACTTCTGTTAGGCTTTTTCCCAGTAACCAGCAACTCCATGACTCCCTGTCACTTTACTCTGATTGTTTTTCTCCTTCGTGCTTATTATTACCTGGCAGAACAGAGATTCAAGTTATTCATGTTTTTTGCCTGCCTCCCCACCCATATGTCAGCTCCATTGAGAACAGTTTTTTTTCCGGTTTTGTTCACCACTGTGTCCCCAGTGCTTAAAATAACGCCTGGCACATAGTAAATGCTCAATAAGTATTTGTTAAATGAGATATGAAACCCTGGCTGGTGTGGCTCAGTGGGTTAAGCGCCAGCCTACAAACCGAAAGGTTGCCGATTCAATTCCTGGTCAGGGCACAGGCCTGGGATGCGGACCATGTGCCCAGTTGGGCTTGCGTGAGAGGCAACCAATAGGTGTTTCTCTCCCTCTTTCTCCCTCCCTCCCTTTCTCTCTAAAAGAAATAAATAAAAATCTCTTTTAAAGAAGAAAGATCAAGACACAGTGAACAAAAGAGAGGCTAAGAAACAGGAAGAGAGACAAAGAAAGGGGAGGAGATGGGGCAGTGGGGGAGGCTGAATCAGGAGAGAAATAGGAAAGGTGGGTGGGGCAGACAAAGGAGAGCAAGGCGGGGGCATTGGGCCCGACGCGGGGATAGAAGGAAGGAAGGCAGAAGAAATAGAGCCGGGGTGGAGAGCAACAGAGATGACGGAATGCCATACGTCAGAGAGTATGGAAGAGTGAGAGAGAGAGAGAGAGAGAGAGAGACTGTTGAGACATCAGGGAGAGACAGAGAGGCACACAAAAACTGGGGGACAGAAAAAAACACAGACAGAAATAGAAAGGTGGAGGAGAGGAGGGTGGAGAGGGAGACACAGAGACAAGAAGAGAAGCCGAGCGATCAGGAGAAACAGGGTTTGCGCTGGCTGGGTGGGTCAGTTGTTTGGAGCATTGCTCCGCACACCAAAGTGTTGCAGGTTCAAGCCTGGTCGGGGCACCCGCCTAGGTTGCAGGTTCGATCCTAGGTCAGGGCATCTGTGAGAGGCAACCCATCAATGTTTCTCACATCGATGTTTCACTCTTCCTTTCTCCTTTCCTCCCTCTTTAAAATCAATAAACATATCCTCAGGTGAGAATTTTATTTATTTTTATTTTTTTGAAAGAGAAATAGGGCTAGGAGAAGAGAGCTGAAACGTAGAAATGGGGGGTGGGGGGGGGTGGGAACAGAGATGAAGTCCCTCTCTCTAAACGCTGACATCCAGAGCTTTGGGCTGACTTGGTATCTTAAGATCCAAGCTTTGCTCTTTAAAGCCCTGAGGGTCAGGGGTGGGTGGAGAGAAAGAATGTGATGCTGTTCCAAGATCACTAGCTTATTTAATCCTCAGGGAAATTCTGTGAGATAAATACTATTATTACATTTTCACTTTACATGACTAAAGAGGTTGGGAGACCTGCCCAAAGTCACACTAGTGAGAGGAAAGGTGGGATGTGAATCTGGACATCTTGACTCTAAAATTAACGCCCCTAGCCACCACCTAAGCTTAATATTAAAGGGTGCTGGCTTCCTGAGTCCCCCTTCCTTCCGGAGACACCCTCTGGGGAATGGTACCAGAGTGGGGGGTGCAGAGTGAAGGGAGTGACTGACACCCCCAGCGCAGTCGGTATCCACAGATGTCTTAGTCTGAAGGCGGAGGCTCAATTTCACCTTCTGGGAAAACCTCCAGTTCAAAGGAGGAGGCTGGACAGGAAAATCACATCCTGCACCAAGGGCCCAGGGCCCTGCCCAGAGCCAGGCCTCAGCCTTCTGGTCGGAAAATGGATTCAACGACCTCCGATGCTTTCAGCAGGGCCTGGGTTTCTCTGCCTTGGTTGACCAGCAGCAGCACTGCAGCCCAGGGAGCACGTACTAATCTTCAAAGGCCGCACGGTGCTTGGAGAGCGCGCCCTCCGTGGTTTCCGGGGAGGCAGAGAAGCCCTGCCACCAGTGCTGCCCGCGCTCTTCTCTCCGACGCCAGGCAGAAGGCACCATTCCCTCCCAGCAGCATCCTGGTGTCCCCGGGCGGCTTAGCCTCTGTTCCCGGCATTGTAATTACACTAAGCATCAATCCCAGAACCCTCGTTCTTGCTTGAAGTCATCCCACCTCTCCTCTTGCCTCCTGTGCTGAGACGGGAAGGCGGACCCTGTGCTTCTCACCACAGGTATCTGTCCTCGGCCCCAAACACGCCAAAGAACTGTTACGTCCTTCGCACTGTCTGACCTTCAACTACCCCGTTGCAGGTAAGCCTCTTTTTCCCATCCCAGCCCAAAGACTACATGACGACTGGAAGAAGAAAACGGGCCCCGCTATGAAAGGGAAGAACACACTCAGCCCAGCCCAGGGCAAGAGAGACAAAGATCAGACGCCAGTAAAGGCTTCCATCACAGACTGGACAGGGGAGGCACCTCTGCAGACCAGACAACAGCACCGGGCAGTTGGGGCAGGAGTTTATTGCAGGTGAATCTAAGGACAGCAAGCTTCAGAGAGGAGGGGGGCCGGCTGCGGGCTCTCTGCTCAGAATCCTATGGAGGGAAGGAGGTCAGGAGAGAGAGAGATCAGGACGTGTTCTGCCAGATGGTGGAGGTCCCGGCCAGACACCGGAGGCGCTGCGAAGGGCGGGCGAGGCCCTGAGCCAGCTCCCCTTCATCCCTCATTCTTCGGGATGACAGCTCCAGAGATTATAGGCGATTTCATGAAGAGAGAGTCCTGGCCCAGTCCGGACCGGGCATCCACGGCGAGGGCGCGTCCTCTCGAGGGCCAGAGATCCAGCCAGCTTGGGGTGGAAAGGATGGTTACCCAGGTCCTCGCCCCTCCGCGGCCTCCGGTGTCTCTCCAGGCATCTGGTGGCTTGGGCGGCGGCTGGGGTCGCCGTGGCGGCGGCGGCGGCTGCGGGGCAGCGCCAGCTGGGGTCGCGGCCCCCCAGGGACTCCCAGGAGGCAGGAGACCGAGGCAGCGGCGGGCACAGGGGCAGGTGGCGAGCCCGGGCGGGCAGCGCACGGAGAGGACGGCGCGCTGGGCGTCAGGCTGGCGGGGGCGGCGCGGGACCGCGTGGGAACCCAGATGAGACCGTAGTAGACGGCGAGCAGCACCGCAGCCAACGAGACGCAGAGGAAGTAGGCGCAGACAGGGGCCAGGCGCAGCCAGCGACCCCGCGGACCTTCACTCAGCCCGGAGCCACCGGGGCTCTCGCCACCGCCGCCTACGCAGCTCGTGCCCCGCATCTCCACAGCCCACTTGGCCCGGAGAGGCGTGCAGGCCCCACCCCCGCGCCTTAGGCCCCACCCACACCCTAGACCCAGCCCCTTTCGCAGGACCGCCTCTGCGCTCTGTTTCTGACCCAACCACGCCCCAGCCACCACGGTCACGCCCCCACGCAGACGCACCTCCTCTGCCTTCTAGACCCACCCCTGCTCAGCTTTCAGCCAATTAAAATCAAGCTAAGGCTCTGACTACGCCAGTATTGGTTTTGGCCCCGCCCCAGAACTGCAATACCTGCTTTTCTCTCAAATGCAGGTCTCAGCCCAGCTGACTACTCGCCAGGCTTCCGTATTATACTCATGCCTCTTAAATGCGAGCCCACCCCAGAGCTTAGCTCCTGTGTCCTCTTTTCGAGGCCTCCTCTCTGCGCCCTAACCTCATCCCGTTTCAGTGCTCTGTCTTCCAGGAACCTAGCCATGCCTCCGATGCCCACCCCCATGCCAGGCCCTGCTCCATGCAAGCCTCGCCTCAGTTCCAGCTTGATTTTTCTCAGAATCAGACCATATCCCAGCATTCGATTCCATCCTCTTCTCCCCCGGCTTCGCTCTTTCATTCTTTGCACTCCATTTGTTTCAACATCGAATTCTAACCACTCCCTCCGTGGGTGGCTGCGCCCCACACCCGCGTTAAGAACTCCCATCTGAAACAGCTCTCAGGGACCCACTCCGTATCTAACGTTGACCCCCGTTCTCACTCCGCCAGCAGAATTCTGGCCCCCCCAGAAACTCTAACCATGCCCCTCACAGGACCGGCTTCCTCCGCCAAAATGTGTCCCCTAAGGTCTAAACTCACGCCCAGAAGTTGCAGCTCCACCCCACACTCCAATCAAGCCCCCTCCCCAGCTCCTCCCCCACCACCCTCAACTTCTCCCTCTCCCTAAACCATGGGGTCCAGAGTGGGCTCCAGGGAGGGGAGAGCACAGCCTGAGGAGCCAGATCAACCCCCTCCTGCCGCCCCCTCCCCATCAAGGCGGGGAAGCTCCAGTGCCCTCCCAGCAGCGTCTTCAGGAATTCGGGGAGGCCTGTGGGAGGGGGGGAGGGAAGACGTATCAGGGGGGTGGAGGAAGGAAGACCCCCTTCTTCCCACCTCTTCCGCCGTAGAGAAGCCTGCTAAGCACAGCAACGCCCCCCGCCCCGCCCCACCAGAAACACAGTTCAAAGGTTAGCGAAAGCTCTGCGTTTAATAGACAACTGGTGGCCCAGTAATTCAAGTCCTTCGGAAGAGTCACTGGCTAGTTGCCATGCCTTAGATGTAATGTCCCGGAGGCGGGAAACTCACCCAGGAGGCTAGCACCTACCCCCATGGCCGCCATAGGTGGGTAACTCGGAGGCTTCTCAGCCATCCAGGTGCCACCACGCCACCCGTTTGAGAGACCGGGCTGTTGCCCTGACCCCAACCCCGTTTGCTCTCCCTGGCTCCTCCCCCCTTACATTTAACCCTCTCCTGGCTGGAGCGTGGCAGAAGCAGAGGACAGAGCGAGGCTGCGGGAAGTTAGTGCAGTCGGCGGGCACCGTCAGCGGGCGGCCCCCGGTGGTGGGGCGGCGGCCACCACCTTGCAGAAACGCACCCTCTGGAAGTCGGTGATCTCCGCAGTCTCCTGGCCCTCGGGGCCCGCCTCTGGGGAGAGAAGGAGCGGTTAGTGGAGGGCAACAGTCCCTGGCCCCCTCCCCGACCCGGGACTCCCCTCTCTAGCCCCGCCCTCATCTCGATTGAGCCTGACGACAGCTACCCCCAGTGCTTAAATGGTTTGGGGGCTGCAGACTCCTCTAATCCTCGCAGTGGCCTCACGAAGCAGAACTGTTTACAATCGAAAAATAAACTGGTATAGTGAGATCATGGTCACTTGGCCAACACGCGACAAAGACGCTCGGGCTCCCTGGCCTCACCCACCATCCTCAACTCCCTCCTCTCCGACCCTGGCCCACCCCGCGCCTCACCGGTTTACACCTACCTCCGTCCTGAAAGCCCCAGTGCGCCTGCCCGCCTCCTGAGTTCTAATCTGACCTTCCCTGGCTCGGCCCCCAAATCCTAATGCCACTCCTGGGTGGGGCGGGGCGGGGGGTGCCTGCTTTACGACCTGGCTTCCCCAGGGTGGAGGTGGAGAAACGGGCTTCGGTTTCTCGCTTCTACTCCGCTGGACCCAATATTCTAACAGTGTCCGCATTTCTATTCTAATTTACTCCACTCCGTTACACCTCAAAAATCTGACCCGGCTCACAGCTAAACCCATTATATACTGCCCCTCCTCCTTTCTGTAATCTATTTCGATTTCTACTGCTGCCCTTATCCCCACCCCTTTACTTTTAGATTACCTTCGAAAACCCCGAGGTCCCTCTCTAAACCCTAATTGCTTTATGGCTCCACCTCCTCATCCCCAGGCCCTTCCATACACTCAATTCCCAGTGGCCAGGCCCCCCGAAGTCCTTTAGCTCCACCCCTGACCTTGGCTCCACCTTAAACCTCGCCCCCAGGCCCAGCTGCAGCCCCACACCAGCGATGAAGCCCCGCCCCCCTCCTCTCCGCCCCAGAGGAAGCGGAAGGCAGGCGGCCACCTCCAGGGGCCAGGGGCTCCCCCACCTGGAGCTGCCTCAGACCCTTCTTCTTCCGCTTTCTGGGCTCCTGGGAGGCTGGGCCCACTCTCCAGGGAGGCAGGGGCTGGCTGGTCACCTCCTGGAGAAGGGGGGAGGCCCAGTCAAGCCCCTCCCCTTCCAAGTAGCCCCCAACGCCAAGACAGAAGGCCCAGGTGGGGGGGGGGGGACAGTTCAAGGTCACACCTGGGGAATGTTATTTGAATGTGAATGTCACTGAATGTAAACTCTTTATTGGGGAGGGAGCTCTGGAAGGGTCCAGAGCTGGGGCAGTGCCTGGGGGTGGGCATTCCAAAGATGGGTACGGACATTACAAAGAGGCGCATGCAGTGTCCTCCCCAGTCGCCAAGGTGGTGGGGCACGTGGGATCCCGGGACCCAGCCCGAGGGTGCCCCTGCCCATGCACCCCGGGAACACACACACACAAGCAGCCAGCTTCATGCATATCCGAAAGGCCAGGCCTCACCCGGAGAGAGGGCATCAGCCGGGTGGGTGGTTCCGGGAGAATTCAGCTCCATCTCTTCGCCCCAGTCGGACACAGGATGGTGGCCCCCAGGGGGCAAGAAAGGGCTGGAAGGTGTGGCAGGGGCCTGAGGAACTGGCAGGGGCTCCTCAGGCATGGAAGGCTCTTTGTTGGCCTGCTCACTGCTGGGGCTCCCGGGGGGCTCAGACTCTTGGGGTTGATGGTCTTGGGCTGGTTCTTCCTCCTCTTCCTCATCAGCCTCCTCTTCTTCCTCCTCAATCTCCTCCTCGTCCTCACTCACATCTTCCCACTCCTCATCCTCCCCTTCGTCTTCCTCTCCCTGGTCCTCCTCCCCCTGGTCTTCAGGAGGCTGGTGGGCAGGGGCTGGGGTCTCAGGCAGCTGTGGGGAACACAGGGCAGGTTGAGGAGAGGGCGGGGGCCCTGCGCACCCCCTAACCCCCTGCCCAGAGAGAAGGCCGCCTTACCTGTGTGGGCGTCTCCTCAGGGGGAGCGGGCTGTGGGGCCTCGGGGGCTGTGGGCACTGCCTCCTTCATCTCCCAGCGGTCGTCATGGTCACTGGAGAGGTCAGAGGAAAGGTTGTGAGGCCTGGGTGGGGACAGGAGGAAGGGGCTTCCAACCTCCCACTCCTTCCCAGAGGAGAGGTATAACATTCGACTTGGAGGGAGGCGTTACAAGATTTCCAGATGGAATCGGTGTGACGGAGCATGCTGGAGGAAATAGTGGGTGTGGGTCTTCAGGTGTCAGGATAGACAGATGGAGGGGGGACCAGGTGGCAGAAAAAGAGATGAGTGGGAAAGGAGGAAGGGACAGATAAGGGTGAAGTGGAGACACCCACCCCCCATACCAAGCATCTGACCCAGAGAGACAAGTGCCTGGAGAGACAGACGGACCCACACATACACAAGTCAGAGAACGGGCAGGCAAGGGCCACGCAGCCCCACTGGGCGCGTGCACATGCCTAGGGGAGGGTGCCCCACCTGTAGGCACGGGGCGCTGCCTTGGCCTGGGGTCGGCTGCCTTTCCTCCTCCTGCGGCTGACCTCAGCTTTGTGCTGGGACAGGAACTCCCTGAAAGTGGGGGGTTTGGGGGGCCGGGCCCAGGCCTGGTCATCTGCAACAGAACCCAAGGAGGGGTCGGGGGTGGGGGACATGGCACAAACCACTCCCCACACCTGGCCCAGCCAGCTGCCTCACCCCACCCAGGGACACCCACTCACCATAGCGGTGGGATGGTTCATGGGCAGTGGCTGGGCCATCCTTAAACCTGGAAAAAGAAAAAAGAGGTGAGCAGGCAGCTGGGGGAACAGTGGAAGCGAGAGAGGAAATCAAAAACATAAGAATAGCCCTGGCTGGTGTGGCTCAGCGGACTGAATGCCAGCCTGTGAACCAAACGGTTGCCAGTTCGATTCCCAGCCAGGGCACATACCTTGGGTTGCAGGCCAGGTCCCCAGTAGGGGGTGCACGAGAGGCAACCACACATTAATGTTTCTCTCCCTCTCTTTCTCCCCTATCTAAAAATAAATAAAATCTTTTTAAAAAAAGATTATAGGAGAAGAGATGGTCAACCAGAGGTGGGTCACTGATTAGAAGAGAGGATCAGGTGATAGACAAGAGGCAAATATGGTATCATATGACAACTACGGCAAGAAACTCAGTATTTGAACTCCAAGAACAAAAATTTGGGAAGTACACGATCCCTAGCTTGCTGTCTGGCCTCATTTCCCATTACTCTCTCTCACCTTCCCAGCTAAGCAGGTTTTCCTGCCTCAGGGCCTTTGCACCTGCGGCTCCTGATCTTTTCCAGATCTTTCAGTGGCCTGCTCCCTCACCTCCTTCAGACCTCAGCTCAGAGGCCTTCCTCAATCCCCCTCTAAAATAACCGTATCTTAATAATATTTTTTAATTTAACAAAATAAAATAGCCATACCTTATTACACATATTACCTAGGTCTAAAACAACAGCCTCCATTCATCCGCACTCTGCTTCATTACTGAAGAATAATGAGACACTAGATCTAGTCATGACTCATCTTTCCCACTAGACTCTGAGTTCCATGAAGCCTGAAGCGTTTTATTCACTGTTGTATCCCCATCACCTAGATCCTTCCATGACACATGGAAGGGACTCAAAAAACATCTGCTAACAAAGCCAATACACACATGTTAATAAGACTTGTAGGCTGCTTTGGGGACACAAGAGAAAAAAATTAAATTTTCTTTTTTTTTTTTTTTTTGTGCCCTCACCAGGATTAAACTGGTGACCTTTCACTTTGCAAAAGAACGCTCGACCAACTGGGCCACACCAGTCAGGGCAATTTCTTATTCTTAACCCCTGGGAACATCTCCCCAAAAGCCCAGTTGCCTACACTTCAGTAAGATCAGCAACAATATCCATGCAAAATACAGGTTGTGGCAAAAGTAGGTTTACAGTTGTTTGTATGGAAACTAATACAATAATTAATAAATTATAATACAACTTTTGCCCCACCTTGTATTTCTCGCGCTTGCACAAGCTTAGCTCACAATCCAAAAACAAATGCTCTGACCACCAGGCAGCCAGGTAATAGCCCCTTTTCTCTCAAGCCAGCGTCAACAATAAAACTTCTAGGCGTGAAATCTTCCAATGCAGCAAAGGACAGAGGACGGCGTAAAATCTGCGGCTGCCGATCTGAAGACTGCCATTTGCTGGCTCTTTCAGAAATTGCTCTGTCTTTGACAGGGAAGTCGGTCCTCCTGTCAACAACGTAAAGATGCCTTTGCTCTAAGCCTGACTAACTTGGGTTTTCCTGGACCCAAAAGGGCACAGTCAGACCTGAGGACAGCGGTGCCCCTGGCATACAGGGTTTGGGCTGGTGGATACAAATGAGCGGGATGAAGGGAGGACGCAAAGGTCTAATTACTGTTGGCACCCCTTCCGGCCCTCCGCGCGTGAGAACTGACATCCACGCCTTTAGCCCTGGAGCCACGGCTGTGCCATCCCCTAGTGAGGGCAGTTTAAGTGCCCGTCCCAGAGATGCCGGGTCGTTCTGACTCATGGAATGGGGAAGCGAGTCCACTCTTGCTCTTCGTACATCTGCCAACATCATGACTTGCTCTTCCCCAGGCTGCTGCTCCCCTCAGCCTGAACCCCGGAAGGAACACACATGGAGCAAAGCTGTGCTCAGCCTGCTCCGAGAGGCCGGGCCCTGCCGCGCCCACAGCCGGGAGTCAGGCCTGGATTCGCTTTACCCAGCTGACCCGTGCACCCGTGAGAAAGAAGCGCTTTTATACGCCACTGAGACCTGGCCATCATGCAGCACTGCCCTAACGATTGCTAGCTGATACACAGGGTGAAAAACCAGAGCCAATCAAAGGAGGCAGAGGTCAGGGCCAAGATCAAGGAGCCAATCAGGGTTGAGCAGGGATAAGACTCACATCCCATCAGTCTTCTCAGCATCCCACTCCCGCCGCCACTGGCCGGTGGGCTTGCGGTGTCTCTGCAGCCGCTCCTGGTCGATTTTCTCCCTCTCCTGCTTCCAGCGCAGGTACTCCGACCGCTCCCGGCCCGTCATGGAGAGCGTCATGTCACTGGCACCGCCCGGGCCAGCCCGGCGGCCCTGTTCCATAGCAGACAGGCAATCAGGGTCCTGTTCCACCACCCGCCCCACTCTACCCCATGCCCTCCCAGCTCAGGGAGAGCCACCTGCTCAAGGTCACACCGGAAGTGACAGGGCAGAGATTACAACCGAGTCTCCTTATGCAGCGCCTCCTCAGGGAGGCTTTCCCAGGTCTCTCTATCCCCTCACCCTGCTGGATTTTTCTTCAGAACATTTGGCATCACCTGACATCTCATTATATATCCATTCATTTAGCTCCCACCAGAATTTCATTAGGGCCAGGGTTTTTGCCTTGTTTAAAACCCTTAGCTCACCCAGCCTGGTGGCTCAGTGGGTTGAGTGCCAGCCTGTGAACCAAAATGTCGCTGGTTCGATTCCCAGCCAGGGCATGTGCCTGGGTTGCAAACCAGCTCCCCGGCTGGGGGGTGTGTGAGAGGCAACCGATGGATGTTTCTCTCACACATCAATGTTTCTTTCCCTCTCTCTCTCCCTCCCTTTTCCTCTTCCTAGAAATGAATAAACAAAATCTTAAAAACAAACCGACCCTCAACCTTACCACCTGGGACCGTGCCTGGCACCCACCTGGGCATTAAATATTACTAACATTAGGAATGAGAAGACATCACCAAAAGAAAGCAATGTGGTCCTGGCACCAGAACCAGCAAGTCACTTGGGGTGAAAGTCTAAGACTTGGTGCCTCTCCCGCTCTGTCTTGCTCACTGCTGTGCCTGGCGCTCAGCACACACCCAGGACCATCTGCTGCCCAAGTGAGACTCTGGCTGCGGTACCCACCTGCCGCTCCTGCTCGAGGCCGCAGCGCACCCGCTCAAAGTCAGAACCGCCCCAGTTGCGCCCGTGCCGGCGGCTGCCTTCCCTTCGGTCCCGCTCCGGCTCCTCCAGGGGCCCGCCGCGCCGCCGGGGGTCATCCAGGAAGTTCCGCACAGGGTTGGGCTCCAGCACGCCTTCCTGCGGGCGCCAGGATTGACTGGGGGTTGGCAGGCTCACCTGGCCCAGAGCGCTCTGCCCCACACGGGGGACACCCTGGCACTGACCCGCTGGTTGCGCTCATACTCCGCAATCTTCTCCATCTCTTCGTTCATCTTCTCGATGTTCTGCCTGCGCCGCTCCTCCCACTCCTGAGGGGACAGAGACACCGGGTGTCAGGAGGAACCACTCAACTCCCCTACGCTGAGGAGTTAACACGGCAGGCCTGAGTGACTGTGGCGTTAAAGGCCAGCTCTTGGCTGGCGTCTGGGAATTTGGCTCTAGCGTGTTCTCAGGCAACGGTTAATTGATAAGGGGGTTCACTGTGCCTCTGCAGTTTGTGCTAACAATATGCTGCACGCTGAATGCCACACCAGGGTAGGGATTTGGATATGTATACACCAAGCAGAGAGGACCTACATGGCCAGCACCCAATAAAAACCCTGGGCACTAGGTCTCTACTGAGGGCGACCTTCAGGTATGCTGCCGCGACTCAGTGCCTGAGACATTAAATGCAGCCCATACGACTGCATTGGGCGAGCTGGGCTCCCCAGGCTTCAGCCTGTGCACCTTTCCCCTTCGCTGATTTTCCTTTGAATTCTTCCACTGTAATAAATCTTAGCCAGGATCTTTCTAGCAAAACCCTGGACCTCAGAAAGGGGTTGGGGACACGGAAACACCATGGTTACCATAGTAATAATGACAGTAATAACAGCGACAACTCAGCAGATGGCTTGGTGACCACCCCCCCAACAATCCATTCTCCCCTTCCTCCATGGTAACAGAATTTTACACAAGCACACGGCCAAGCTGCTCAAGATGACGTTTTCATTCCCAGGCTCAGCATACAAGAGAGAACCACATTTCCACTTGATTGAAGTGGGGTCTTTCTGTCACAGCAGCTTCACGTATACAAATAGTAAATATCTGTGAGTCACGTTCATCAAGCACTTACTCTGATGGTTTCAATGCTTGATGTCACAGAATGTTTGTAATACCTTTAAACCAGATACTCTTCCTGCTGAAGAGTAAAAACCCAGGAGCTTCCAGAGGGGAAGTGAGCTGCCCAAGGACAGGGAACAAACAGAACCGGGGCGACCCCAAGTCCACGGCAGGCTCCAAGCCACTGTGCTAGACAGCCTCCCACCCTGCTAACCTGTGCATCAGGGCAGTGGGAGGAGTTACAATAAGAATGTCACTGCTGTGCCGAGTGGCATGGCTCAGTGGGTTGGTCGTTGCCCTATAAACTGAAAGGTCACCAGTTCAATTCCCGGCCAGGGCACATGCCTGGGTTGCAGGCCAGGTCCCCACATGGGGGCGTGCAAGGGGCAACCAGTCGATGTTTCTCACACTTCAATGTTTCTCTCCCTCCCTTTTCCTCTCTCTAAAAACAAATAAATAAAAATCTATAAAAAAAAAAAAAAAAAGAAAAAGGAACATCACTGCTCCCTACAAACAACTCCCGGGCACGAAACAGACAGAGTGAAAGCGCATGCACTAGAGACCGCCGACACACAGAGCCCCTCAGAGACAGACAGGCAGACAATGCCAGCGAAAGAGAGCAAAAGGAGGGACGGCGGGTGCGCAAGCACAGCCCGACAGCAAAGAAAAGGGAGAGCGGGAAGAGGTGGGGTGTACACACGATCGCTGGGCGGGAGGGGGGTGGGGGTGTGAGAGCGAGAACAAGCCAGACCGAGGCGCTGAGAGGCAGAGACACAGAAAGACGGACTGTTGTGCAAATGGTCCCTTTGAGGGTAGGGAGTGAGGCAAACAACAACAGAGGGCCTCAGCCAAAGGCCTTTAGCCCCTTCCAGCTCCTACCTTTGATTTGCGGTCAGCAGCTGAGGCATCTCCGGCTCCAGCGAGATGAGAGGACCCTCTGCCCCGGCCCCTCCGGCCACGGCCCCCGGCTCCTCCTCGAGGCTGCTCCCCAGGACTGTCCTCCCAGCTGCGGGACCCCCGGCCCATGCCTGTCCGGCCTCCCTGCTGAGGGGGGGTCCGGCCACCCCTGCTAGTCCCCGGGGGCCGAGGGGTGCCGGGAGTCCTCCGGGAGGGTCCCTGGTTCTTCTCCTGGAGGAAGGAGGGAGGAAAAGGCCAGTCACTGGGGCAGGGGGACGGCCAGGGGCAGCTGCCAGGATGGAGGCACCCACATGACTCGGGCGGCTGGGAGAGCTTTCAGGGGTCAGCTCTCCCCCCCAGCTCTGTCCTCAGGCACCCCCCAGCCCGGCGTGGAGCTCACCGCCTCAACTGCCATGTTCTCCTTCTCTAGTGAGCGGCCCTTCCGGGGAGCTGTCACAGCTACGCCCTCGAGTTCAGCTTTTTTACGGTCCTCCTCAATCTCCTAGGAGCGAACATCAAAGGTAGGTGAGTGTCGGGGTCCTGAGTGTGGCGGACTCCCACAGCCCCCAGAATTTCTCCCATGTCTGACCCTGGCCTAGGCCTCTCCTGAGCTCTAGACAGGAAAGCTGGTCACCTCAGCATCTTCCCCCAAACGGCAGCACGCTGCTCCCCTGCTCAGAACCTTCCCATGGTGCTTGCCCCGCTCTGAGTAGGAACCACAGGCTCCCCCATTGGCCTACGGTCTGATCTGCTCACCACCCTGACCTCATCTCCCATCCCCGCCCCCTCGCTCACTCTAGCCTCCTCACTGCTCCTGGAACAGACTAGGCTCAGACCTGCCTCAGGGCCTTTGCACCTGCTATTTCCTCTGCCAGGAACACTCTTCCCCCAGAGATCCTTCAGCCTTTCACCTCCTCCAGGTCTCTGCTCAAATGTTTCCCTTCTTAGGGCAGCCTCTCCTGACAAGCTTAGAGAATCCAGCGCCCCTGCCCTTCCCTCGCCCCTTCCCCTGTCCATACCTGGGGTTACGTATGTTTTGCCTATTGTCTGCCTCCCCCTGCAACAGAACCTGCCAGAGGACAAGGATGTCTATCTGTTTCATTCACTCATGTACACCCTGACACTGTGTGGCACACAACAGAAATCAGTATTTTTTTTTTAAATGAATGAATGAAGAATGAATAAATGAAACCGCATTCTCCTCCCAAGTCCCATCTCAGGGACAGCCCCTACCACCTATACATTTTACCTCTGGCAGGGACCTGGGCCTTGTCCTGGACTCTCCGCCCTCCTCCCCACCTCCTACCACTGAAGCCCCCAAGTCCCTCCCAACAGCACTGACCAAACAAGCACCTCCTCTCTCCCTGAGGCCCCAGCCTCAGCTTCCTCCTTGGTCTCTGGTCCCCCGTATCGCCTCCTCCCACCCCTCACCACACAGCAGCCAGAGGGGTCTTCCTAAAAAGCCATTCTGACCTGGTCCTACTCCTCTCAAAGCCCTCCACGGCCCTCCAGTGCCCTCAAGAAAAAGTCCATCCTCTCAGCTTGGACCCTGCTGACCTCTTCAGGTCAACATTCCCCAACTGACCCTCTAACCTGAAGCTCCAAGGTTTTATACAAACTGTTTCCTCTCTCGAAATGTGTTCTGCTCTGCTTTTCAACTGGCTAATGTCTATTCATTCTTCCGGGCTCAGAACCTCCTCCTCCAGGAAGCTCTGTCAAACATCCTCCAGGCGAGGGCAAGTACGCTCTCTGGGTTCCCGAAGCCCTCTCGACTCCCCCGTCCCAGCCTTGCCCACACTGGGTCGTCACAGACTGCAGGCAGATCTCTGCCCCCAAGGACTGGCACCCCTGCAGGACGAGCCCCAGCACCACTCAGCACAGGGCTTGGTCCAGCAAAGACCTTGGTGAATGAATGATGGAATGGTGGCGGCATGAAGGAAAGAATGCCAGGCTAAGGCCTTTGGCTTTTATCCTGAGAGTGAAGGGAAACCATGACAAGGTTTTAAGGGAAAGGTGAGGGAAACTCACTGCGGGGAGGAGAGGGGATGGGGTCTCCCAGGGCGGGGCTAGGGCACCTGGTAGCGCCGGATGAGGGCCTCATTCTTCCGCCGAAGAGCTTCGATTCTCTTGTCCAATTCTGCATCCTTCTCCTCCTTCGATTTCAGATCCAGTGTGGCTGACTGAGATAGAGAGACCACTGAGAGACAGTAAGAAAAACCTATACGCAGCCCAGTGACATTCAATCCAGGGTCTGAGTCTGGCACGTGGGTCCGCCCTCCCAAGCCCCTGCTCCAGAGCTCAGATTCCAGGCTTGCCATCTCACCATGCTGCTGGCTCACTCGGGAGGGCCAGGGTTCCAGCAGGCCTTCCCTGCAGAATCTGGACACAGCACGGGGGGTTCCTAAGGGCAGAAGGAAGAGAAAAACTAAGCCCAGTGCCTCTCCTCCAATCTGCTTCCTCTCTCCCATCCTGGGTCACACACATACCTGCACACCCAGATAAATCTAGCTCTCATTGCCAAGTCCTCTTCTTGAAATACTAGCCCGCTTCTTACTGGGAAAAATTTAGGCATCACCCCCGTTAACATTTGGTCCCACCTATTTCCATGTAAACACTGGACGCACACCACCTTGGGAAAGTTCTGGCTCCACTCCACCGCAAAACAAACAAAGAACAACAACAACAAAAAACCCCACCTAACACTTCATCCTTCCAAACGAGGTTACCTAGTCCAGCCCCCACAACCTTGTGCTGAGAGTTTTAACACGGGCCTCCAACTCAAGAGAGCTTTCACTACATCCTCTCCCCCGAACCCGTACATGAAAGTTCTAGGCCCACCTCCCTGTGAACATTATAGATCCATCTCTTTCCCAGAAAAGGCTCAGAAACATCCCATAACCCCACACTCAAGACAAAAAAAAAAATCTCGAACCCCACTCCTAGAGCCTGCCCCCACCTTCAGAGAACATTCTAAACCCACACCTCCCTCAGGGCTGTCCTAGCCGCGTGCCCACCCTCCCGAGAAAGTGCCGCTGCCTTCGTGCAAAGATTCCAAAAAACAGGTCCGGTACCCACTGGCGAGGCTTCCTGATCCTGGCCCGACCTCCCCAGTGAAAACTCTCCCAACTCCGACGCGGACAAATCTCCGCCGGCCCGTGGCTTTCCAGGGAGAAGAAGATTCAGCTTCCACCCAGTCGGGAAACGCCACGGCCCCGCCCCGGGGCCAGGACAAACTTTCTGGCCCGCCCACACACGCGTCATTGATCTGGCCCTGCTTCCGACTTTCCAAACCAATCCTCTGGCCCCGCCCCCAGGGCCCCTAAGCAACTGCTGGAACCCACCTCGTCCTTCTCGCGTTACTACACTGGCCCCGCTCCCGGCTCCCCAGCCATCACTCTGGCCACGCCTTCGATTTGTCCAACCGAATTTCGTCACGCCCCCTGGCTCCCGCCCCTGCCCCGTCCCGTCCTTATCTGGCCGCGGCCCTGGCACACTCACCCAAGATTCTGGCTGGGCTGCCGGCCTCCGGGCCAAGGCTCTGACCTCGCCTCTGGCTCCCGCAAAACTTTCTGGCTCCACCCCAGCATTCCCCGCCAGGAACCTGAACCCGCCCCTGGATCCCCCGCAACTTTTTGACCCCGCCCTCCCCCTCACGTCAGCCTCTAGATCCGCCCCCGACTGCCCCGCTAACGATACAAACCCACCTCCACATCAGGCAAAACTTTCTGGCCCGCCTCTTGTGTTTTCCGCCAGGGCCCCGGCCCCGGCCCCGCCCCCTAACTATCAGGGCAATTTAGGCCCCGCCCCCAGCACGGCTCAACTTTTCGGTCCCACCCCCAGCTGCCCACCCACGCTCGGGCCCTGCCCACCCGCCAACGTCCCGCCCCGCCAGCGCCCCTCTTAGCTTCCCATGTGGGCGTCCTGTCCCCGCCCCCCGCAGAGTACTCTGACCCCGCCCCCGCGGGCTGCTAGTTCCTCTGCCCGCGCTCGCTCCCCCCACGTGGGGCGTCAGGCCCCGCCCTCTCCGGGCGCGCTCTCGGCCCCTTTTCCCGGTCACCTGTCCCGGAGACCCCGCGGCGTCTGCGAGTCCCGCTCCGTCGGCCTCCGCGTCCGCAGCTCCCGGGCCGCGCGCGTCACTTCCCGCCTGCACCACGTGAATAGGGGAAATAAAGAGGGTCACTTCCGGTCCTGTAGCCCGTTTCCGGGATCCTTAAAGGCGCCGCGCCCCCGCGGGTGTACGCGGGAGTAGGTCTTGCTGGTCCTCGAGGGTGTTCTGCAAGTTTGTTCAACTTCCTTCTGCCCTTTATCTTCTAGGGAGAGGAGACGCCATCCTCCCTCTCTGGCCTCTACATGCTCCCCTTATTTCCTGGTTCCAATAAATAGGCCCTTGCCAGGCACTGGTCAATGACTCCTAAAAGCCTGACCTGCCAGGCTTGGGCTGGGGGACAGGAGGGAGGCCAAAGTGATGAAGGAGGTAGACCCCATCCTACTCTCACTAGGGAAAGCACAAGTGAATGTGAAATAACCGAAACAGTAACAGGAATGTGGGCGAGGCCTTGTACGAGGGGCAGGAGGAGAAGCCTGAGGGAGGGTGAGAGGGGGTGGCTGTCCAGGCAAAGGGCGCACAGCCTGTGCAAAGGCCCTGCAGTGCGTAAGCTTGGCGTATTGCAGGAACTGGAAGACGCTAAGAAAAGGACCGGCTGGATTTGGCTACAGAGTCCAGGGAGTTATGCATAAAGTAAAACTTAGACATAATAAACCAATTACTGTAAGCGATGATAAACGCTATGTAATAATACACTTACAGGAGGTGATGATAGTTATAAATGGGCAGACCAGATATCCTGAGGTTGCCAGTACTGGACTTATATGTTGCAATTTAAAACATGGAAAGTGGCCCTGACCGGTGCGGCTCAGTTTGGTTGGGCATCGTCCGGAAAAGTGAAGGGTCTGGAGTTCAATTCCTGGTCAGGGCACATGGCAGGATTGTGGGTTTGGTCCCTGGTTGGGATGCGTGCAGGAGACAACCCATGGATGTTTCTCCCATAGATGTTTCCTTCTCTCTCCCTCCCTCCCTCCCTTCTTCTAAAAATAAGATATTTTGTTAAAGTTTAAAAATAAAATAAAACATGAAAAGCGGAAGTATCTGACTGGTGTGGCTCAGTGGGTCGCGTGTCGTCCTGCAAATTAAAGTGTCGCTGGTTCACTTCCTGGTCAGGGCAAATGCCTGGGTTGCAGGCCAGGTCCCTGGGTAGGGATGTGGGAGAGGCAGCAGCTGATAGATGTTTCTCTCCCTCTTTCCCTCTTTCTCCCTGCTCTCGAAAAATAAAAATAAAATATTTTTTTAAAAACAAAGCATAAGTACCTGGTAGTCTCTTGCCCTTTATATGGCTACTGTTAACAGCCTTTCAGAGACTTGATCTACACATACAACTTAATTGTCATTATTTCCTGAATACCTGCCAAGTTCACTACATCACTTATTTCAGCTCCTTACTGAAATATTACCTCTTCCTAGGGGCGTTACTTGCAACCACCAGTTTAAAAATTGCAACACCTCCCGTCTGTTTTCTTCTTCCAACCCTATTTTTCACCCTTTAATATACCGTATCTCTTGCTTATCTTGTCAACTGTCTTCTGTACTACATTCTGTTTTATACCATGTTATGTCCCCAGTGCCTTGTACATAGTAGACTCTCAAAAAATGTTGAATGAGTAAATCTTTATTAGTACTATTTTGTTGCCATTTTATAAAACAAAAAGTAGAGCCCTGACTGGTGTGGTTCAAATGGTTGGGCGCCGTCTCACAAAACAAAAGGTCGCCGGTTCGATTCCGGTCAGGGCCCGTGCCTGGGCTGCAGGTCTGGTTCCTGGTTGGGAACGCGTAAGAGGCAAATGATCAGTGTTTCTCATATCGATGTTTCTCCCTTTTTTTCTCCCTCCTTTCCTGTCTCTCTAAACATAAATAAATAAAATCTCTTTTAAAAAATAGTTAATACCGCACTGAAATTTATATCTTTAACTTAACAAGGGATGGTTCACAACCTTTTAAACTGCTGGGTAATATTCCATCCCGTAGATGGGCCATAATTTGCACCACCTGGCCTCATGGACATTTGAGTAGTTTCCCGTTTGAGGAGATTGCCCACAGTGCTCTCTTGAACTTCTAGAAGCACACGTCTCTGTAGGTACGTGATCCGTAACTTTGTTCAAAAAGGACTCACAGTGTTATGGTTAAGACTGCAGACTGTGAAGCCAAGAGGCCTGGGTTTGGATCCTGGCTCTGTCATTTACCGACTGCGACCTTGGGGCATGTAGAAAACTTCTCTGGATTTCTGCTTTTTCGTCTGTAAAATAGAGATTGTTGGGTTTGTTGGGCAGAATTCAACGATTGGTAAGTTACTACATATAAAGTGCTTGCACAAGGCCTGGAAAATTGTAAGTTTTCAATAAATGGAGACCCTTTATGGCTTCTAAAAAGATGAAATTGCTGGATCAAAGGTTAATTTACTAGGAAGCCAAATGAACAGTGGTGGTCCCAGGTTCATAGCACCTGAAGTTTACGCAAGTTGGAAGCCCTCTTGATAAAAACGAACGGGAGGATGTGAAAGACTTCCAGGGCCGCCCAGGATGCTGGACAGCCACGGGTGGGAGGGGCCCCAAAGCTGCACTGGAAAGCCTCCACTTCAGACAGAAAGAGGCTGCCCAGGGCGCAATGTTTTTGGTCCCTTGAAGACAACACATGCTCCCTCTTCTCTGGGCCTTGACACAGGCTGTTCCTCCTGCTTGGAACACCCTTGCAGCCCTTTCTTCTAGTTAAGTCCTCTTCATCCTCCGGGCTTGCCTCAGATAGCATTGCCTCCTCCAGGAAGCCCTCCATGACCCCATGCTAGGGCAGGTGGCCCTCTGGGCTGACTCCCCCTAGATTCCTTCATCCCAGGCCAGCCCATTCAGGGTCCTCATTGTCTGGGAACAGGTCTGTATGCCCCCAAGACTCTGAGCTCTGCAGGGGCAGGGCTGGGGTTGTCTCTGTCCCTAGTGCGCCCCCAGCCCTGTGCAGCACAGGGCCATGCACACAGTAGCTCTCAAGAGGTAACGAACACCGGAAGCTGCCCGGCTCTGCTGGAGCGCTCACAGTCTCCCCAGCCCACCTGGCCGGCACGTCCCAGCCCCACAGTTGCCCAAACGCCCTTTGTGACAAAAGCTATTTTCTTAACACTCCTTTTACTACCCTGGAGTAAAATGCATAGATAGTATGTCCTACCAGCATACATCATTTTAAAAATCAATATAATAATCTAACTGTAACATAAAGGAGAAATGAAAGTAATTTATAATAAAGCAAAACATGTAAAAAGGCACTAATACGACTACACTGGAAAAGATAAAGAAATGGTCAAATGCTTTTACCTACTTGTAATGAGTGTGTTTGAGAATAAGAGAATTTGAAAAACCGCCAAAGGAATATTGTCAATACCCTTGTTTATAGCTGAGATTTTAAGAAGGGGTTCCATGCGCGCGTGTGTGCGTGTGTGAACACAGCAGCCTGGCCAGTAGCTTGACACAAGATGCTGCAGTGACATACTTGGATGTAATTTTGTCACCTGAAGTGGAGTTGCAGTGGGGATGGGATTATCAGAAATGGTGCATAACCCCTGGTTGATTTTTTTTTTTTTTTTTTTTAAATTTGCCCTGGCTGGTGTGGCTCAGTGGATTGAGTGCTGGCCTATGAACCAAAGGGTCGCCAGTTTGATTCCCAGTCAGGGCATGTGCCTGGGTTGTGGGCCAGGGCCCTAGTCGGGGGCATATGAGAGGAAACCACACATTGATGTTTCTCTCCTCTTCTCCCTCCCTTCCCTTCTCTAAAAATAACTAAATAAAATCTTTTAAATTTTTATTTATTTATTTATTTATAGAGGGGAGGAGGGAGAAAGAGGGGGAGAAACATCAATCAGTTGCCTCTTGCACACCCCCAACTGGGGACCTGGCCCTCAGCCCAGGCATGTTTCCTGACTCAGAATCAAACCGGCCACCTTTCAGTCCTCAGGCCAGCACTCAGCCCACTGAGCCACACCATCCAGGGCACCCTTGGTTGATTGCTGAACAAAAAAATGGTACAGTTTTCCCTAGAAAGAAGTAGTTGCGTCCTTGGGAAGTTCAGGCTGTATTAAAACCATGCAAATAATATTTTGTGTTTACCAACCACAGAATGTCTCAAATGCAAGAGACTGATATCAATTGCTGAAGAGGATGAGGAGCAGCCGAACTCTCGTCCATGGCGGGGTAGGGTGTAATATAGTTCAGCCACTTGGAGAACTGTCTGGCAAGTCCTCCTCCAGTTCACACACGCTCCCACCCCGTGATCCAGCCAATCCACTCCAAGGGATTTGCCTAAGAGAAGTGCATGGGCATGTTCACCGGAAGACATGGTATGTACCAGAATGTCCATCGCAGCTTTAACATAGCAGCCTCTCTTATGGGCTGATTTGTGTCTGCCCCTCTCACAAATTTATATATTGAAGTCTAAGCCCCCCTACCTCAGAACGTGATCTTATTTGGACACAAGCCTTTTACAGAGGGAATTAAGGGAAAATGAGGTTATTAGGAAGGGCCCTGATCCAGTATGACCGGCATCCTCAAAAGAAGAGATTAAGGTTCTGGTTAGGTGGCTCAACTGGTTGGAGAGTCATCCTATACACCAAAGGCCTGAGGGTTTGATTCCTGGTCGGGATACCTAACTAGGTTGTGGGTTCAATCCCTGGTCGGGGTGCATATGAGAAGCAACTGATTGATGTTTCTCACCTCTCTCTCTCTCTGTCCCTTTCCCTCTCTCTAAATTCAATGGTCATATCCTTGGGTGAGGATTGAGAAAAAGGAGACATTAAAGCCCAGACCACACAGAGGGAGGACCCTGTGAGGACACAGGGAGAAGGCAGACACCTAGAATCCAAGGAGAGAAGCCTCAGAAGAAACCAACATTGACAACACCTTTATTTCAGACTTGTAGCCTCCAGAATTATGAGAAAATGAATTTCTGTTGTATAAGTCCCCAGGCTGTGCTCCTTTGTGATGGCGGCGCCCCCAAAGTAATACAGCCTCAAATTGGAAACAACTGGAATGCCCATCAGCAATAGAATGGATATTCACACCTTCGTG